GAAATATGCTGCCCGTGGACCTGGTGATATAGCTAAAGATGTACAGTATCTCGTTTTCGGGATGTTTGAAAAGCTGTTTTCATTTCAGCTGGGTGAAGCAACGAATAGCAGCAATAAAGATGCCCATTTCATTGCTTATATTCGATTTTGCGATTATATGTCAGCAGTAGAAGAACACTGTTCTGAAAACCAATAGAATAGAAAATAACCACACTTGCTTTACTTGCTATATTAAATGACTTTATAAACGAGGCAAAACTAAAATGGGAAAATTGCGTCCAGTATGCAGCAATAGTGCTCCTTCAGTGTCTGGAAAATTCCAAAGCATACAAGCGACTGTGAAATAAAATTATATACAGTGTATATGGACACATTTTTGCTTCTCAAAGAAGCTCTGTCTTCCAAAGAAATCAATCGCTTCTGAATATTGTGCTAAAGACGGTTGTAACCATAGTAAATTATATAAAAATGAGACTTCAAGAATTTTTTCTGCTCTTTGTAAAGACAAAGGTGTTGTTCATTAAGCACTACTATTTTATTGCGAAGCAAGATAGTTTTCTGATAAGAAATGTTTGCAGCGGTTTATGAATTAAGAGATGTAATCACTATTTTTCTAGAATGACCTAGAAAACTTTCAGCAGCCATTTTCTAGACCTAGAAAAACCGACCAGACCAGGTTATTTGGGATGAAACTGAGCTTCTTGATGACATATTTGAAAAATTAAATGCCTGAATCTTTAAATCTAAGGAGTAAATACTCATACGTTGGATACGTGTGATGACGTTAATGCTTTTAGTAGAAAACTAGAATTGCATGGCAAGTATTTAAAGAAAAATCTAAAAATGTTTAGAAAGGGGGATGAATGTGGTCGCAAGTTACGCGAGAAAAAATTAGGTAATCATTTCAAAATACTTCTAAAAGTCTTTCCACTGCAGAAGAACTATTCATAAACTTCACGGCAAGTGGCGAAATCAAAAGAAAATTTAGTAATAAATCACTCTTTGAATTTTGATCAGGCGTGAACCATTTTCAACATCCTTTCTTTGAGAAACCGGGTTTTCTAAGTTGGCTGCTTTGAAGAGAAAATATAGACCTCAGATAAATATAAGTAAAAGAACTCAAGAATGTCTATTTATAATATTAAACTTTTTCTTCTAGAAACATTGCTGTTAAAGACAGGCCTAAGGGAACCGCTAAATTACTTTAGATGTTACTAATGCATCTGTTATCAGATGTGAATTACTCTAATTTGTGTGAACAGAATCCTTCTATTTGAATAATAATCTAAAAATAATTTGAAATAAGCTTTTATAATAACTTCGCATCACTTTTGTGAAACATATGGCACGTTATAACAAATTTCAGGGTAAATTAAACTTTCCTCCAGTGTCTGTTTAAATTTATTTTTCATGTGCATTTTCCCTTTAAATTGTAAAAATATAGAAAGTAGATATTTTCCAAAGATGAATTTGATCAAATCTGAATTAAATTGTTTGAGAACAATGGAAATTTCTGTTTTTCCTTAGGTATACACACACATATTATGCAGCATAAAAATTAGCAAATAGTAGTACCGAAAACATTAGACTAAAATGCTTGCTTTGTGTAAAATAATATATTATATACTGATAACATATGTTTATATCACATCCATTATAGCAAAAAAATTATTAAAAAATAATTGCTTTCAAATTAGATCCTTAAATAAAGAACGTAAAATTTACATTTTTTTTTTTTTTTCGTAATAGACAAAAAACAAATCTTCATTAAAAATCCCGAAAACGCAATATTAATTAAGTCTGTCTTTTTTTGCCTTTCTATTCGACAAAATCAATACTACTAGCTCGCAAAATTTGCAATTATGTTCTTTGGAGAAGAAAAAGACTTTTTTTTTAAAATTATTTTTATTAATTTCCGTCTACTCTGACTAAAATAAACAGGACTGCAGATATTTTTGCAAAAGTGGATCAAGTCAACTTATTCAGGTAAAAGAATATTTTCCTCTACTTAATCACCTTAACATTTTTGTTTGTTTACAAAACAAGATTTCATCTTCTAAGGTAATTTTAAGAAGAAAATTCCTGATTTATTCGTTGCAGTGAAATGATTAAAATTAATATAGTAAACCCTCATTAACATGACTCTCAAGGGACTGAAAAATCTAGAGTTCGTGTTAAAAAATTCTTCTTAACTGGCGACTCAAATTTAAATTTTGGAATAGTATTTTCTACACATTAATCATCTACAAGCTATAGTTACATAACTACTACTACAGTGCGTTATGTATGTCGCTGTAGAAAACACTGTACTATTTATACACTGAACTGTATCTTAATAAAATGCACTCACACATAATTTTTTTGTTAAAAAATGTTAATATAATGCTTTGTCGCAGACGGGAACGAAAATACCCGGTAACTTCATGGTCAACTGTACTCATGGCTTTCGTAAAACTGGCAGTCAATTCGGATATTGTAAAAAACGTTCTAAGGTGTCCAAGGCGTGTATCATTTTCCTGACAGATGGGCGAAATGACGCACTCTTCACTTTCTTCTGATGACATTTCTTGCATCCCAGACATAACTGCCTAATACACCATGGCCCTTGTCACCTTGTATTCTGAGGGTGTGACTTGGGAAAAGATTGAAAAAATGTCTAGTTTCGCCCATATTGCACAAAACATATATTTCACACTTGGTCAAATTCGTGCAACCAATTGTTTGCTCCTTCCTCATCAACATTATTTGCTTCACCCCAAATTATTAATGATGAAATCGAGTATCTCTTTTTAAAACCTTATAAGGTATTTCTCCCGCATTCTAACGTGCCTTCGTGGTGTAGTGGTGTGCACGCTTGGCGCGTATTCCAGAGGTCCGTGGCTCGGTTCCCGGCGAAGATGTTACTCATTTGTCAAGTCTTCAGCTTTTAAAAACCCTAATGTCTCTGCAACTTTTGCAACCAACAAGCGGAACAACTGAAATATTGAATGTCTAACATTTTTTGCAAAAGCGTTTACTTTTAATTGAATTATAGCTCAACTTAAAGGTACATTTGAAGTGCACATATGACTGAACCATTCTAGAAGTAAAATTTTGACATCTTCGTACGTAGCACTGCGAAGTCGCTTAGATTTTTAGATTTATTCCAGGAAACCGATGCAGCAGCATAAAGAATATTTTCGCGTTCTTTACGTATTGTAGATAAGTAGATTCAGTAAGTCCATATTTTTAGGTAATTGCACTTTTCTTCTACATACCACGGTCTTCGTCCTCTAGGATTTTAAATTTTGTTTGCAGATGTGTGCCGGTATCCTTCCTCTTGGCCATAAATCACTCTCTTACTGCTCGCGGTTTAATGTTGGCTGAACCGTCCATAGAGCTATCTACAGGTTTACAGCCATCTACAGTGCCGCTAGAACTTTCGGAGAATAAAGATATGTTGGTATGCACTGAACGTTCATGTATAACTAAACTACAGTTCAGTATATCTCTGAAAATATTTTACTGATTTAAATTTTGAGCCCTTCAGAGATTCAGATGGTTTAGCTTCTTTGATGATTGAACATATTCAGAACCTTAGTCTTATTGTTGAGAGAATATTAATCTTAAGTTGTCACAGCGGGTGTGATGTATTTAAGCAAGAATGGTAAAAATATTTTAAAACCTTTGTCCAAGCGTGCAAAAACGTTATTTATGTAAAATGAAAACTTTAAAATTATAGCACTCTTTCCTTTTCTAAAATATTTTGACAAGCTTCAAAGTTTAGAAAACAATCGTATAACCATGAAATATGTTTCCTATAAAGTACACTCAGTTGCGAATTTAAATCTTGTAAGTCAATATGAAAAATTTAATGAAATTCACAAAGCTCTTGTTCTTGCACATTTAGAACCAGTGAGATGGTTCTTTCCTCCTCACGAAGAGGAAAAATATTTTATTACGTAGTGCTGTTATCATTCTGTTTACATATTCATGAGTTACCTCTTTAACAAATTAAAATCACTATTAAAATGTATCATAATTACTGTTTCCTTAATTTTATTTCGATACATAATTCAGTACAAAATAAAGATTCCAGGTCAGCCAAATATTAATATTTCATTAGTTACATCCACTGCACTAAATCAACATATTTAATCGACGATAACTTTGTAGTGCTTATATAGCAATCACTTGAAAGGTGAGTATTTCCGTCAGAGGGTAACAAACTATTGAAAACTGGATTAAGCATTTAAATATGAAAATTCATGATTATGAAATACATTGCTAAAGCAACAAATCCAAAGTGTATTTAATCTGTTTATGTACAAAGGGAGCAAACTGCTTAGATGAAAATACTTTATTCTGATGCTCAAGATATCGTATGTTTTCCTCCATATCATTATAAATGATTATAAATAATATTTTTCATTAAAATAATATAAATTATTATAAATAATAATTATTCGATACACGCGTTTATTATTATTTATTCACCTTATTATTATAAATAATCTTGAGGCACACCTTTCAATGATTATTATAATCTTTACTTTATTATTCTTAATCATTTATGAATTCTATCTTTTTATCAAAACAGCGACGAAATCCTAATATTTTAAAAGTGTCAAGTCATGTATATTAAGAAGATGACGTTATTGCTTAATCAATAAATAAAATACTGGAACATTAACAAACAGTTTCTACAGTAATAATGCAGTACGTAATATTGAAACAACAATTCAGTATTGATTGTATATCTATTTACCTTCTATAAATTTATTATAAAATTCTAAAAACGTGTGTGTGTAGATATTTATGAAAATGGGTGTATTGGTATCTGAAGTAAGAATACACAATATACCTTGAACACAGTAAAAGTGTTAGATAATAATTTTAAAATTTAATTGTAATTTCAGTTTTCAAAATTTGTATGCTTGTGTATCTTGTTTTAATTGTGTTTATCTTTCGTCTAATGTAAAATATTGTAGTATTTACTTTAACAAAGATTTTCTTTTCAGGATCCTTTTTCTCTCGAGGGGGTATGTATTGAAAATCATAATTTTAATTAATTTTCTAAAGCCCCTTAACTCTTTTTAATTAGGACGTTCTCCTAAATTGCGTTATACATAAGTGACTTTATCCTTCAATTATTCTCTTCTTGATTAGCGTATGATATTTATCGTATATCATAAATATAGTAAAAACTATGGCATTTTGGTATCGGTTATTGCTAGTGGAAATACAATCGAAGTAAATTTTCTTAAGCCTCCACCCAATATCATGCATTTATAACTTCTTAATTACCAGTATTTTTATGGTGAAAATGCCACATTCAAGAGAGATTTCTTAATTATTTAGATCTTCAAACTGCAGTAATTCTTTCATTGCTATGATACCAAAGTACAATTACACAAAATTTCAGGCTTTGGATATAACCTATACAAGCGCTTATTTACACTAAAATGTCTATGCTACGTACATGCATCTTTCCCTATATCTTTACTGCGGCTAAGCGAATTTGAAATAAAGATATAAGATATGTGCATTTTCTAAGTAATATATTCTCTACATTACTCTCTAAGAACTGTTTCTTTTACTTTAAGCGATGAGAGTAAAAAACTGTTAACTAGTGAAACAATACATAAATGTAAAACCAAATCCTCTATTTGTTTAGGTTTGCGCGATGGTTTACCATCTTGTTTTATGATGTTAAACTATACTGCAGTAGGGAATGAATTTTACTTCAGTTGGCAAACATGCAGCTTCGTTACAGCAAGCACGCATAAAGTTTTCTGATATGCTTTCTATGTGAAATTCGAATCCTAACTTTTGTGAATTTTTACTGAATAGTTACCGTTAGTGTTAGTTAGTTTTTTGAATAGCTATTAAGTTACAGTGTAGAGTTTATTTCTGTGGTGACGTGTTTCTTTTTAGGGTGTAATATGTGTGGGACTCTGCGCTGCGTCTAAGGCAAGTGATAAAGCAGTTAGTTAAATTATTAACAGGTGCGGTCATAACTTTGAACGATTATCTAATCAGTAATCATTAGATGGATAAGACTTGACTTCTCTATATTGAGAAGTGTTTTCTAAAAATTACTCCAATAGAATGTTAATACGTATAAATTGATCCATAACTGAAATACAACGAAAGGAGGATGACACATTTAGTATTAAATAACCTACATAAATACTTACAGACTGAATAACATTATGAAATTTAAATATCAGAATAAAAATTAAGTATAAAAATTAAGTATAAATTAAGTATAATTATAATAAATCAAAATAAATTTTAAAAGAAAGAAAAGCCAATCAGGGCTTTTTTCATTTTACATAATTTTTTTTTCTTTTATGCTCGCTTGTTTGTTTTGTCTTGTTTCTTTTTATGTAGAGTGGATAGACACTAAACTATAGCATATATACTTTAGTATTTTTGAAATTTTGCTTGCTACTTTATCATATTTTGTCGTTATTTATATAGTTGCATTATATATAGAGAGAACCGAGATGCATACATACAAATGCAAGGAAGATGTAAAAAGTTCAGGCATTAAATATTTATCAGACATTTAACTAGAAGATGTCTTATACTAAAGCTTCTTTGAAGAGCTTTTCATATGTATCCATTTACCACCTATGAATTTTTATGAATATTCATGCATACATAGCGGCATGTTATACATAAAAAACCTTTCATACTTTCATGCAATATCTAGAATAAATATGTTCCATAACATATCTTATTAAATTTAGAATCTTAGTTAAATGTTTTCAACGTATGCTACACTGAAATATTTTTAAAACTATTTAAAAAATATTAATATATAATTTCGCAAAATGTTACTTAGCATTTCTTCTTATTTTTATAATCACAATGGAATTATTTCAAAATGCATTGAACAGAAATGCACCTTTAGAATAAATTCCTAACAATTTGAAATACAAATATTTCGAATTCTTTTATTACATTTCACGGCTATTGAATTACGTTATTACATAAAACAAGCATTCACTTCAAAATAACTCTTTATGAAATTGCAAATATACATTTAGAACTTTGCTGAACATAGAATAATGTAAGTAAATGAAATTTATATCACATGCAATTATACTGAATATATTTTATCTCATCTTAAATGAAATTACATACAAGAAAAGTTAAATGTATGCGCTATATGTGAGAACTTTGAAATTTATCCTGCCACATACCATCTCGACAGATCTGGACAAAAATGTGAGTTGTCGAAGAACACTTTTGAATTTAACCAATATGTTTTTGTTAGCTGGTGAAGGATTTTAGAAGCTTATAAATACTGTGAGGTCTGCAATTTTATTCCCATTCAAAAGTAATATATTATTGCGAACTGATAAACAGAAATCATAATCTTCAAGATAAATAAGAATTTTATATTTAATCATAACCTAAGCAGTTTTTAATGGGGGTTTCCTTTATGATTTTGATTATGATGTTATTATGGTTTTATATTATGATTATAATTTTAAGTGTAACAAACCGTGCTTAATGAGTAGTTGAATCAGATAACTATATGAAATGGAAATTTTAGAAGTTTTGTAAATGCAAGATATTTAACTAAAAGTTTTTAATATTATTAAGTTACTTTTTTCTACATAAGTGTCAATCTCTAGCAAGTATACGATGAAGAATATAAAAAGATGGAAACTCATAAAATTGGAGTCTTTAAAATAAAAGTAAATAATTAAATAAACCACTATACACACATGAGTTGTACTTTCTACAAATGAGTTTAAATTTTAATAATTAAATAATTAATCTCAGTGCAACGCTTGGTTTTGTACATATCAAGTGATTGTAATTTTGAAAAAAAAATTAAGCCAGATTTATTATTATAAGAACTAAAGAATATGCTTCATGATTTTTAGGTAAATGAGAGTTACAATGCGTGCTACATAATTACTAAAATATATTACTGCTTTTTTAAGTAAATGATGTGAGTGTGTGTGTGTGTGGTGTGTGTGTGTGATTATGGCAAAGCCTCGAGGGCTATCTGCCTAAGAGGAGGGATGCCTTCGTGGAGGACTTTCTAAGGGAAACTGGCTCGTATACACGTTACACATGGGGAAAACCACGAAAACGCCCATGCAGCCAGCCCGTTCGCGGGATTCGAACCTCGGACCGAACTACCAGTGTTCCGCCAGTACTACCAGTACTACCGCTCGGCCGCTGGTGGGCTAAGTAAATGATGTAATAGGCCTTAATGCAAACAAATCATTATTAACATGAGTGGTGAGAAATATAATATTCTTATTTGAAGGTTCTTTTTAAAACAGGCAAAGTATATTGTTTAACATATGAAAAATGGTATTGATGATTATATCGAAGAATTGTATGCTTTTTAATTAATGGACAGCCGATTTTATCTAGCAGGTTTTATATTTTTTCTATTCAGAACTTTCAACAATATAATAAGTGATATTTTAAAATTTCTGTCATTAGTTGCAAAATATTAGCTTATAAGCAATGTGATATATGGAATTTTATTTTGATTCAAAGGGAATATTTATTATAATAACATGTTTTTAATTCTAAGCAAGTGAATTTCTTGGTTACACTAATATGCTGCAACTCTAACTATTAATTAACATTCCTGAAAATTCGTATTTCTACGCTAAATTTGATAATTACATGTATTTCAAATTATTTGAACTGAAATGCTAGTAATATTTAAGTATAAAAAATATATAACAAACCGCTGTTCCAAACGTAGATTACGCTAAACGCGCAGTATGAAAATATCACCTCTGACTGGTAATCTTGAAGGTACTTCTATGTACTAATAGCATTTCGAAAGTTATTGCCAGGGATATATAAGAATGTTTCCTCGACTGTTCTTTATTCGTTTAAGAACTTAATGCTTAGTCTAAAGTTTACAATCTAAATTTACCAAATATTTGATCTGGAATAAGGGACATGGTCTCGAAAGAATAGACTTAATACAGAAGATGTTAGAAAATTTGGAGTTTTCTATATTCAGATTATTTTCAAAATTATATATTTTAGACAACTTAGAAAGTAGTCCATTACTAGATATCGAAAAGAACTATAACTTGCTCTCCCAAAATTGTGTAAATAAATAAAATTATGTAAACCGCAAAAAACATATATAAAATAAAATAAATTGAAATATATATATTTTAATTTATTTTGTTTAACATATGAAAATTTTATCAAATTTTATCAATTTTATCAAAATAAATCAATCAATTTTATCAAAATAAAATAAATTGAAATATATGTATTTTAGCTATATTAACGTTCTCTCACTCATCATTATTACTGTAAGTTTAATAAAACGTTTTACAGGCCAATAATCATCTATTAATACTTATGAATCCTGTCATTTGCAATCCACAATCGCATATGCTACTGTAACTGTAGTAATGAGATTATGAAATAGGATTTAGAAATTTATTTGCCCTAATGATGAAATATTGGGTGCATTGTGAATATCTCTCCATTAAAAAGAAAAAGATCTGGCACGTTCAAAGCATAGCAGCATGATCGTGTTCTAGGAGCTTCTTTACTGTTTTCTGCGTTATACACGTAATTTCAGCAATGCAATATTGGAAAGCAAGAACTTCGTACTGCACTTGAATGCATATGGATGATATCCAACATGTTTTTTTTATCTGGGTATCATTATTTAAAAGGGAATACATTTTGCATAGGTCAAAATTGAGTATTTTTGGATTAAAGCTAGAATAAACGAATAGCATCCTAATGGTCCATTTGCTTAACCTAATTAGGAATTTTCTCTTTATCAAACAAATTTTAAACAAAATTTGTTGTCTTAACTTTTAAAGCAGTTCAGTAGAATCAAAATTTAACTTTTATTAGCCCAGACGGACTATTCCAATTTGCGTTGAAAACTTTAAATGTCGGTTCACTTTTTAAATAGTTACCACCAAATATTAGTGCCCTGTATTTTATTTAAAGAAATTAAATAATAAAGAATTTGCATAAATGTATGTATGTTTCTCGCATTTTGATAATACAA